GGATATGTTCCAATAAATCCATTGTAAGTTGAAAATGTATTTAATACATCTACTCTAATATTATGTCTTAGCCTAGCCTACCTTAAATGTACCCAGAACACTTACATTAGCCTACAATTGTGGGAAAGTTGTTGGCAACACAGCATACTGTATAGTATCAATTGTTTACCCTGGGAACTGAGGCTTAATACTGCTGACTGGCATTGCAACAACTTAGCATACCGTATATCATTAGGCTGAGAAAATACCAAAATTCAAAATTCAAGTATGGTTTCTACTAAATGAGTATTGTTTTTGCACCATTGTGAAGTGCAAAAATCATATTAGGTTGGTGCTAAAGTAACTGCCATTTTTGCCATGAGCTACTGAAAGACAGAGCTCAGTCAAGTAACTTTTGCTCTTTTTCTCATTTCTATTACCTACTTTTAAAAGTATTTCTAGGATGCATGTTAAACAATAATATTTGCACACACTCAAATAAACATGGCATTAAAGTTTAACATCAGGTATTTGGAAACATAGTGGTGGTAAAGATAAATATTATGGTAGAAGATATGATTATAAAAGGAATAAATGTGAGTTTATGAAAGTCATGTCAGTTCTTAACAGATGTATATTCAAATATTCTTTTCTGTTGTGGCAGGATAAGGTACATTAAGGATAGATTATAATTCAATAAATTTCTTTTCTCAGTAGTTTTTAATCCCATGTTTCAAAATTACATTTTCATCTCAAGTTCCCTAATTTGACAAATTTACCATGCAAAATGAAAATGGATTATTATAATAATAAGAAAATACTTTCCAACAGCCAATATCATACTGAATGGGCAAAAAATAAAAATAAAACTAAAAAAATAACAATAAAAATACTTTTTGCAATTATTGTTGCCAGAATTAAAAATAATTCACTGTAAATCTAAGATCTTGTACAAGTCAAATAAAAATATTTTAAATTATTATTTGCATTTGAAAAAATAGTATTGTGTTGGGGATGAATAAAACTATCTTAAACATTTTGGGCATTAGAATTATAAAGATTAATTCTATTGTATGACTTCTAACAAAAAAGATGGAATCCCCCCAAAATATTTATTTTTGTTGAAAAAAAAATCTTCATTTACCAGCAAATTCTTACTTCAATGTTTGGTTATTTGAAAAACAGCATAAAACATCATCTCCTTTGCTTAACAGCATTTGATTTTGATTATCCCTTCTAAAACCTTGACTATTTTTACAAAATACATATATTTGAACAGAGATGTGACACAATCATTTTGATGTAAAAAAAAAAAAAAAAAAAACTAAGAGTATCTGACATTCAGAAATGTTGGCATTAGTAATTTTAGTAGTTATATATTGTCATTAAATATTTACTATGTACCAGCTACTATGCTTGACATGAATCACAAAAGTAAAATACTTGACAAATCACTAATCACCTGACGTAATAGCAAAGAAAAGAGACACTGTACAAAAAGTTGCAAAAACTAATTTATTTATGTGATAATAATAGAGCATTATTTTTCGTTAAAATTTCAAACCTCTTCTGCATTTTTAGACCTTAAAACGTCACACATATATTTTCATAAGTCAAGAAGGTTTTCAGTGAGCTATTAGTGTGACTTATCTTTATTAAAAGCAAAGATGAGCAAGAACGAAATGCATGTCTCATTAGTGAATTTATAATTTACACAGTATCACATTCAAATGTCTTTCACCTTGTTCAGCTTTTCTATTCTAATCACATTAACTCTGTGTTGATGCTCTGTAATCACCATCTCAATCTTTCTCTAAAGCTAAGCAAGTAGGCTTTATATCCTACTTCTTCCCTATATTTTTGAATGTTTTCAGCAAGAAGAGGTTGTATATGCCTAAATTTAAGAAATTTTACTTGACGAGGCATTGCTTTTCTAATGAAATCAAGAGCCAAAGGGGAAAGTAATGATTCTGTAAAACCACATTAAAGGCTGTATTGCTGTAACTTTCTTCAGTTTTAAGGATACAAGTGTCCCACAGATAGTATTAATGTACCAATAGTTTTCCCAGAAGAAAAAAAAAGTTAAAGTAGGCCATCATTGGTGAGACATTATTTAAGGCAATATATTTTACATGACCTCTTAAACTAACAAAAAAGAAAATATCAACTCATCCAGACATCTGAATTAATTTTGATATGGGAAAAGATATCAGAGGAACATTGGAGTAACCTTCTTTCATAAATTCCAAAGCAACACAAATAGGTAGAACTTTGTGTTCATACTAAAAATCAAAGAACCTTTAGTAATTAAATCTAGGAGTTGCCTCGAGGAGTTGTCAAGCTGGTCTAAGATTAATAAAATATTTTTAGATTGTCTAGGTTCACATAATAGACTAATATTTAAAGAAACAATCCCGATTCCAGCAGATGGCTGTGAGCAAAAAAAATGGAAATGACATCAAATGTGGTATGACTTGAACTGCCTTTAAAAAAATATATACAATTGATAAACAACAAAAATTTGGTTTTCACAATTTTAGAGGACAGAAGTCTGAGATCAGAGGTCCAGCAAGGTTGGGTTCTAATGAGAGCTCACTACCTGGCTTAGTCCTTTTCCGGCTACTCTGTGTGCCCCCAAGGTTTTTTCTCAATGCATGCACATGAAGAGAAAGTTCTCCCTCTTTTTCTTTTCTTATTAAGCCACCGAGGCTGGTACAGTGGCTCACGCCTGTAATCCCAGCACTTTGGGAGGCCCAGGTGGGCAAAGTATTTGAGGCCATGAGTTTGAGACCAGCTTGGTCAACATGGTGAAACCCTGTCTCTACAAAAAATAGAAAAATTAGCCAGGCGTGGTAGTGCATGCCTGTAAACCCAGCTATGTGATAGGCTGAGTCATGAGAATAGCTTGAACCTGGGAGGTAGAGATTGCAGTGAGCCAGATTGTACCGCTACACTCTAGCCCGGGAGACTCTGTCTCAAATAAAATAAAAATAAAAATAAATAAATAAAGCCACCAACACTATAAGATTAGGACCCCACATTTACAACCTCATTTAACCTTAATTACTTCATTAAAGGCCCATCTCTAACATAGTAATGTGAGATTTAGGGCTTCAACATAGAATATTTTTGTGGATAAACAATTCAGTAGAGTGAATTCCAGCATTAGAACCCCAAAAATTGTGTTCTTATTATATGCAAATTTTCCAACAGCCCAAAAAGCTTAACTTACTCTATATCAACTCTAAAGTCTGAAGTCCAAAGTTTCATCTAAACAACACCTAAATTAGACATTCGAGAGATTTGAGGTACAATTCATCTTGAGGCAGAATTCTTCTCCAGCTGTGAACTGTGAAACCAGTTATGTGCTTCTAAAATAAGTTATGCACTTCTAAAATATAATGGTGGACAGACCTAGGATGGACATTCCCATTACCAAAGAAATAAGTCAGAAGCAAGAAAGAGGTGGCAGTTCCCAAGCAAATCAGAAACCTAGCAAGGCAAATTCCATTACATCTGAAGCCTCAAATGTAATTTTCTTTGGTTTGATGCTCTGTCCTTTAAGTCCAGTGTCCCCTCCATAAAACAAGGCAGGAGTCACACCCATGCAGCTCTGGCAAACCAGTGTCCCACATCCAAGGGTCTGTCAAGCAGTCAAAACCCAAAAGCTTCAGAGAGAGCCTGTCTGGCTTCTTGAAACCAAGGTGATGGCCCTGATAATCTCTGAATTGCCCGTGGGAACACTTTTTCCTCTACTTAAAAAATATTCATATTTATAGCTAAATAACTCTATCACCTTATCCTTCAAATTCCACAAGTCTGACAACCTTTATTTGTATTATCCGATTTTCATCCACTTCAGTTTAAACTGACAGTGTTTCTGTTGATATAACCCCATTAGTTCCTTATTGAGTGATAGTCCAGCCACACCTTTGGGGTTCTCTTCAAAACATGCTTTCTTTTTTCCCTCCACCATAAAATGAGAATTTACCAACACTTTAAATTCTGATTCCCTTTTTTCTTAGCAATTCTTTCTTCAGTTCATATCTCTCCATTTACATTTTTCCCTATATGCAGTCAGAAAGAACCAAGCCACTCTTTCAATACATTGCTGAAAAAAATCTCCTCAGCTAAATATCTGATTTCATTGCTAGCCGGTTCTACCTTTCACAAAACAATAGAAAAAAGTTCAACCAAGTTCTCTGCTATGTATTTTTAATAAGGATCACTTTTGTTTTAGTTTATTATCATGTGTGACTCATTTTTGTCTGAGATCTCAGTAGAATCACCCTTAAAATTCATATTTCTAACGTGGACCTCAAAACTCTTTCAGCCTTCACCCATTTACTTGTTTCTAAAGCTGCTTTCACATGTTTACATCTTTGTTATGTCAACATTCCACTTCTCAGTGCCAAAATCTGAATTAGGGCTCTCCAGAGAAATGGAACCACTAAGGGGTGGGTGGGTGTGTGTGTGTGTCTGGGTAAAGAAATTTATTATCAGAAAGTGGCGTATGTGACTATGGAAGCTGAGAAGTCTCAAGATCTGAAGTTGACAAGCTGAAGACCCAGGAATGCCAGTGTTTGGTTCTATTCCATGCCTAAAGACCAGAGAACCAGCAGAAACAATGGTGTAAGCTGTAGCCCAAAAGCAAACAGCATTCCTCTGGGACACAAGGAATACGGAAGTTTTGATTTCAGTCTGAAGGCTAGAAGAGACCAATGTTTCAACCCCAAGCAGACAGATGGAATTGCCTCTTATTATTCAGAAATTCAGCCATTTTATTCCAAACAAGGGCTTCACATTGAGAAGATGGAGGCCACCCATATTAGGGAGGACATACTGTTTCACTCAGTCTACCAATTCAAATACTCATCTCATCCAAAAACAAATTCATAGGCAAACTCAGAATAATATTTGAACAAATATCTGGACATCTTGTTGCTTACTCAAGTTGACACATAAAAATAACCATAATAGAATGTATTTTTTTTCTTTTTTTTTTTTTTTTTATGATTCAGTCTCCATAGAGACTGCCAGAAATTGCCAATGCCAACTATATTTCAAGACGTCATAGTTGGGTATTGGGAAAAGTTTTCAATTAGCAATGATCACGCCTCAAATAAACCTCACTGGGTGCGATACTGACACTGCGCAAAGCTGGAATGTATTTTTTACCTTAACTTTTTTGGCTATCTTTTGCTCTTCTTTTTGTAGTTTCCTAAGGTGAAATGTTAGGTTATAGATTTGAGATACATGTTTTTTTTCCTAACATAAGTGTTTATAGCTATAAATGTCTTCTAAGCACTGCTTTAGCTGCATACCATACATTTTGATAAGCTGTATTTTCATTTCTATTCAGCTCAAAATGTTTTCTAGTTGTTTTTGCTTGTGATCTTTTCTTTAACCCATTTGTTGTTTAGGAGTTTGTTTAATTTTTACAAATTTGTGTATTTCCAGCTTCCTTCTCTTCTTGATTACTATTTTAATTCCATTTTGGACGGAGGACATACTTTGCATGATCTCAATCATTTTAAATTTACTGATACTTGTTTTGTGATCTAGCACATTGAACTACCTGTAGAATGTTCAGTGTGAAATTGAGAAGAATACCTATTTTGCTGTTTTTGACTGGAGTATTCCGTAGATGTCAGGTTATTACTCTGATATTTTTCAAATTTTCAATTTTTTGGTTGATCTTCTGCCCACTTATTCTATCCATTATTGAAACCAATGTCTTGAAGTATTATCGTTGAATTATATTTTTATCTGTTTCTGTCAGTTTCTGCTTTATGTAATTTGATGTATTGTTATTAGATGCATATGTTTTTTTACTGGTTATATCTACTTCATTCATTAACGTTTTATTAGTATAATGTAGTCTTCTTTAATTGTATTAACCTTTGACTCTTTTATTAACATAGTTCTGTTTCACTGTATTAACATCTATGTTTTAAAGTATATTTTTTCTGATAATATTATAGCCACACAAGTTTTCTGACAATTACTGCTGTATGGCATCTTATTTTCACCTCTTTGCTATAAACCATTTGCTTCTTTGGATTTTGAGTGTGTGACTGAGAGACAACCTATAGTTGAAACTTTATTTATTATCCAGTCTCAAAACCCTCGACTTCTTGAAGTGTTTAATGCATTCATATTTAAAATTATTATTAATATGGCTGGATTTAAGTTTGCTCCTGCACTTGTATGTTTTATTGCAGCACTAATTATAAGATCAAAGTCGTGGATCAACCTAAGTGTCTATCAATAAATGACTGGATAAAGAAAATGTAGTATACATTTAACACTGAATAGCACACAGCCATAAAAAATAATTATATCAGGTCTTTTGCAGCAACATGGGTGAAGCTGGAGGCCATTAGCCTAAGTTAAATAACTTGGAAACAGAAAGTCAAATGTCACATGTTCTCACTCACAACCAGTAGCTAAGCATTGGGTACACATGGAAATACAGAAGGGAATAATAGACATTGGAGACTCCAAAAGAAGGAGAGAAGGGAGAGGAGTAGGGTTGAAAAAATACCTATTGGATACAATATTCACTGTTGGAATGATGGGTGCACTAAAAGCCCAGACTTTACCACTGTGCATTACATCCATGTAACAAAACTGTACGTGTACACCCTAAATACATAAAAATAAAATAAAAATGGCAAAAAAGTCTTATATGAGATTTCTTATGAAAATATTCCACAAAGCCAATTTAAAAATATCCTATATGGCCAATCACTATTCATGTTGCACTTTATGCAAATAATCACACCAATTCATAGTAAGACTAAAACTTTTCTTGTAAATAAATTGATCTTACAATGACTTCTTCTTGGTAGAAATAGGGAACAAAAGAGAGAAAAGCTCTATCTCAAACAAATAAACTATAATACACTTGTTATTAGATTGTAGCACTTATTCTTTTTGAGTTTTTATTATTTGCCTAAAATCTGAGCTAAATTCTGAATTCTTTCCTAATAGTCTCAAAACTGAAGTTTTCTAAAATTCCTCTCATTTTTCTCACTTGGAATCACTAGAAATTAAAACTGTGCTTTTCTTGAAGATCTCCAAACTGAGGCTAGACAATTTAATGTAAACTTTGGAGAAAATCGACACAGCAACTTATAGATAAACAATCATGACTTTCGATGTATATGAGAACTACTTAGAAAGTTCACTTGAGTACCTGAATTTAAACCACAATCCAGAAAAATCTGGTTAGATTTCTATTGCAATTTGAAGATGCTTTAAAGCCTCCAGAAAAACTAGCTTACAGACTACTCTAGACATTAATCTTTGTTTCCAAAGATATGATATGCCTCTTATTGAATCTCTGTGTGCGCTCATCCTACATAGAAGCCTAGCTCTGAGAGCCCATCTGGAATGCTACCTCCTGGAATGGGACACACTGTTTAATCAAATGAATCCATCCTTGGAACTGAGAGACTGATTCAAGAAGATATGACTAAATATATTGAAATTTGTTCTTTTCTACTTATTTCAATTTGTTTTTCTCTCATTTGTGTCTATTATCTCATAACCTCTAACTCAAATCTTTCCAAAGGTATCAACTGGGCTTTAAAAATGTGAAACTTTCTGAAAGGAATTTTCAAAGGGGGAGGAATGAAGGAAACCAAAATATTTTATGTCCTCGGGCGCGGTGGCTCACGCTTGTAATCTCAGCACTTTGGGAGGCCGAGGCGGGTGGATCACGAGGTCAAGAAATCGAGACCATCCTGGTCAACATGGTGAAACCCCGTCTCTACCAAAAATACAAAAATTAGCTGGGCATGGTGGCGCACGCCTGTGGTCCCAGCTACTCGGGAGGCTGAGGCAGGAGAATTGCTTGAACCCAGGAGACGGAGGTTGCGGTGAGCCGAGATCGTGCCATTGCACTCCAGCCTGGGTAACAAGA